CATGGCTGAATTAATGAAGTCACATTTGGAGAAAAGCACATGGCATAAACATTATTTTTGATGAGCATTTCAACTGGATGATGAACAGAAAAGTTGTCAAGGAATAACAAAATCTTTTGGTCATCATTCAGTCCAGTTCCCTTGCAGTGAGCACAAGACGCAGGTCCAAAATGTTTGTGAGGCCAATCAGAAAAGATGTGCCTGGTTAAACCTGCCTTTTTGTTAGCATAATAATGGTCTGGTAAGAAATTCACTCATTGAAAACAGCAAGGACACAAGCTTTTGCCTGTCATACAAGTTTACACTTACGCATGCCTGCTGCATTAGCACATCCCAGCACCGTGGTTCTGCCCTTGATGTCCTTAATTCCTGGAGAGGCTGTCACCAGCTGTAGTTGTGTCTTTCTAGGGCAATGAAACAAAAACAGTCATGTTCCATTAGCGTTATAGACTTGTTTTGGCATCAGGTTTTCATCAGCAATGACCTTGGCAAACTCACCAATGAATTTCTTTGCTGCTTCATGATACTTTATCACCACATTAAAAAATGTAATGTCATGTTTTTTTCTTAAGTTTCTGCAGCCAACATGTTGAATATTCATAGCTCCCTCTCATTTTCAGTTCATCCTTATAGATCCTTGCTTGTTTCCTGACCCACGTAGCCTTAAGTGGCAGATGTTCACTGCAACACCAAGGAATCTATCCTCAGTACATGGTCAGGATCTTCATTGTTAGCTTTATGCAGTGTTTCTCTATTTTTCACTAATTTCTGTGTGTCACTTTTAGCACAGAACTTCAACAGTTGATCCTTCTGTTTCTTCAGGTCCTAAGTGGTGGTCACTTCAACACCAAACTCTCCTATAAGACATTTCACACTTACACTGCTATCTACTTTCTCCAACAGCTTGACTTTCTGTGCTACAGATAAACATTAATGCTTCCTCTTTTTCTTATCACTGTTACCCAGAGAGGTATCTGCAGGCCTTTTAGGTATTTTAACAACATTTTTATAACACAGAGCAGAAAGTAAGCAAAAAAACACTGTGACGCACGTGGGTTTGGGCCCCTTGTAGGGCCCTATGGGGAACCCGCCACTGGCATGTGCTTGCATGGGGGGATCTGGGCATGTGCGGAAAAGGCACGTCACAGCTGAAGGGGGTGTGAGGATCTCTTTTCCCTTGGAGACACTGAATAAACTACATGTTGTGGCCTACATTTTGACTGCAACCCATCACATGAGGTCAAGTGTGGACTTCCCATTTGTACTGCCATGTTGATACTCACAGGTTTCAAATTTTGGAGCATTTTGGATTTTGAATTTTCAGATTAGGAATGCTCAGCCTGTGTTTTTGCTAACCTGACTGCAGGTCTGCACAGTCCTCAATTTTGTCTTTCTGTAATTCGAGCACAGGAGTTGATGCTTCAGACGCTAAATAAGCTTTCCCAGGAGAGACTGTAATGAGATGTGCTGGGATTGGATGTGTTGGGCTTCTCTGAGCAGATAAATAGTAAGATTCATTTAGCCGTAATAAATACTGAGACTAAATAAGCCTTTCCCAAGCGAGACTGTAATTCGACGTGTTGGGATTGGGTGTGTTGGGCTTCTCTGAGCAGATGAATAGTAAGATCCACAGCAGTAATTGTTAGCATCCACGAAAGAGGCCTACAGACAAGTGTTCACTGTGCTGCTAGTTTTGTGTATGGTGAACCAGTATACTAGATAAAGGACACCAGGGGCCACTTGGCTAACGTGCAGGGCTGTGAGCACTGTGCTGCATCTCCGCTGGGGGGTGCTGGTAAGCACTCATCGGAACACCTATCCCCTGACCCTCCTCGTCCTTGCTGGCTGGTTGTCATCCTGCATACCCAACCCCAAGCATGCAGTTTTGTTTTTCCATGGATGTTTGGTTTTGGACACTAGGGGAAACTTTCAGGTACCCTTTCTTAGTGTAATTATTTTTTATTTTAAACAACTGTGCTAACATTATTACTACTTAACAATTGTTTTTAATCTGATGCAAATACCAGGTGAGTGGGCAATGAAGGTTCTCCCCTCACACTTGTCTTCTCACCCATAAAAACTGCATAAAGCTCTGAAGCCAGCTTTGGCTAAAGGGGCATGATCTGCCCCTCAGAGGATGAAGAGCCAGCTGGCCGCAAGCTTGCGACAGCAAACACTCTCTTCTGCCAAGACCTGTGAAAAGCTAGTCTTGGTTGTCAAAACCAGCACCACGACACCACGAGTCCATGTCTGAGAGAGGATGAACTCAGAAGGAAGGCTCGTGTACAGAGAAGGCTTTCATTCTCACTCCAGGATGCCACCTACATGACTTACAACCCAGCCCAGCCATCCCAGACCTAAGGGGTTCTTCCTCTCCAGGGCAGGACCTACATGCAATCGGTGTTGCTGCCCTGTCTTGGTAGCCTGTGTGTGGCCAGCCCATTATCAGCACCTCTGGATTCCAAACCCTCAGTGGAGGGAGGAGAGTCAAGTGCCAGGTGGAGCTGTAGCCTAAGGTCACACGTCATCACTCCAGATTATGAATCATGATTTGCCAAGTCTCCAAATTGCCGAGTGTGGATGGCAAATGGATTTGTTCCTGCTGGCTGGATGCTAAGAAGCATCCGGTCCTCAGCTGTGCTTGAAGTACCACAGGCAGTAGTAAAGGTAGCTTTTCCAAGCCATCTAAATAAATGTCATTAACAGTGGCTAAGTTGTTTGAGGACCATGGCATCATGGTGATAGCTAACAGGTGGAAGGAAGGCAGGCCAGCTCCCAACCTGGGGTTATCTCCACCAGTGACAGTTGTCCCTAACTGGAAGTAGCTGTAGTAAACATCACAAAGGTTACTTCAACCCAAGACTGGAAAGACCACCTTGATCAGAGAGTTTTCCTTCCACATGACCCATATCCAACCCGAGTCCTCCAGCCCCTCCCCTCACAGCCTGATGGAGGCTCAAGGACTCATAGGAAGGAACACTTAGCTTGAAAATGTTCCTAAGGAAAAGCAAAGTGTGAATTCTGAGAACTGAGTGGCAGAATGGAAGTTTCACGTCTGGCAAAAGCCTAAACAGATTATTATCAAATAGGGGATTTGTGAATGTTGAAAAGATAGCTGTGGTCTAGGACACTGCTCGTTGCCCTGGTGAGACCACACTCGTGGTGTCACACTCAGTTCTAGGGACGGTATTACGAGATGGTGTGCACAATTGGGAGGAGACTGGGCTCGAAGGAGCTGTCTAGGTTGGCAGGATATCACCAAGACTTTGACAACATCTCATCAGCTTACGAGAGATGTTGGTGACATGCAGAATGGATAGTGATAGTACAGTGAAATGGGTTTGAAGCTGCGGTGTCTCTCGGATGGCAGCTCATGAGAGTCAGAACACCTCGGTCGCAGCGTTCTCAGCCGCCTGGCAGCAAGGCCAGAGCGCTCAGCCACAGCTGATGTTCTGGAAAATGCCACTCTCTCCTCTGATGGGAAAACTAGAAAGTTTCTGCCTTTCCTATACGCTGTCCACCAGCCCCAGGCAGCTGAGCTGGGGCGCCATAGTGTCCCAGGTGCTGGGCCTCTTGCTGCCCCAGGGACAGCTCTCCCCACCGCAAGGCCTTGAGAAGACACCTGCAGCCCTTCTTGGCTTCCTGGCCAGGGCTGTGCGTCTGTCCCTGTGCTAAGGGTTGAAAGAGATGTTCCAGGGGGAGCACACTCACTTTGTGCATTTGTAAGCCTAGTCCTCACCCACAAAGTGGTCATGACCCACCCATGCCATGAGCAGCACCCTCCATTTGAAAAAGCCCTAGCTGGACTCAGCTTCTGAGCAGCCTCCTCTGTGTGTCCCTGTTTGCTCTCAGCTCTTTCTTAAGGCATTTAGGGGAGGAGGGGTCTGGGTGTCTAGGCCTCGGCGGTCATGGGGGGTCCCCTGCCCCACCTGTCTCTCTCCTCTCTGTGCCTTCTTCCTCACCTTGCTGGGGCCTCCATTACTGAGGCCCCGCCCCAGGTCCATGCCCGGCCCCTCCTCCAGCCACCCCACGCCACAGTCCCCACTCACGCCCCCCACCGAGTCTTTTGAGCAGAGGGAAGAGCAGTGATACTGGACCCCTTCTCTTTCCACCATGTAGCACCAAGTACCTCGCTCTCTTTCGGAAAGCAAAATTGGAAGCTAAGTCCTCAGGTGAACCCACAAAGGCCTCTTTAATGCGCATGTGGCTGAAAAACTCAACATGTACAAGACTTGACTTTTATGAGATGTTTATTGCAAGTGCAGTTTATTTTAAAATAAGTACAAAATCTGTGGCAGTCTGGGGCCATAAATATTTTTGTAATACATTCTTAATTGGGAAAAAAGGTTGTAACTAAGATTTAGTAACACTGCCAATTTCAGTCCTGGAGACTGCCAGTAGAGAAAAGTACAGGAAACCTCCGTATTCACAGAATCAGGATTTGTGGTCAAAAACAACGCCTGCTCCTCCCTGCCTCTGGTGGCTTTCGCTGCCTCTTTCTCTTGGTCGCCGCCCCAGGCTTAGCCCCACTTTGCTGCCTGCATAAGCCCCAGGTTGCGAGCAGGACAGCTGCCAAAGTGGTCCGAGCACCCAAAGGCAGGCAGTTGTGTGGCAGTGTGACCTCAGGGCTGAGCATGTGTCACCATCATCAGGAATCAAACTTGACGCATCCTGGCAGTGAGCCCAACAGCTTGTGCTGACCTGTTCCCAAGGCCTGGTCCCAGCAGGCCATGTTACCCTCAGAAGCCCCATGTCCTTGTCAGTAGAATGAAGGTTATGTGCGATAATGCATATATTTTGGCTACACATAGTAAGCATTGAAAAATTTGTACCTGACATAACTTTTTAAGTATCAGATTTCATACTGAAATGAAAATTAGTTGGTTTTTTTGTAAGCAGGTTTGACCTTTGCCACAAGGCTCACATGAAGAACATTTGGGGCCTGGGGATAAGCACAGTGTCGTCAGCACCTCTGGTTTCCGCTTTTTCTCTGCCTGCAGGTTGCCCGGCTCATGGAGATGGGATTTTCCAGAGGTGATGCTTTGGAAGCCCTCAGAGCTTCAAACAATGACCTCAATGTTGCCACCAACTTCCTGCTGCAGCACTGATAGTCCCAGGCCAGCACTGGGACCAGACTGGCCACCAGACAGTGCATGGTCCCACCATCAGATCAGCCTGGGGACCGAGCACCTCTGGTGCTGATGTTCCTGTGGGGAGAGGGCGGTTCCACCGCACCCCCCACCCTCAACCCCAAGACTGTTGCCATGATAGCATTGAAATAAGTTTGCCATTACATTAGCATGTATTTTTTATCTATATTTTTTTATTGGGCATTTTCCCTAGGTTGGAGAGTCATTACTTGTTTTGAATGTGTTTAAAATGCATTAAAATGGAAGATTTCTGCAGGCAGTTGAATGGCACTCCAGATGGGAAATTGCTGTGACCCTCTTACTGTGTAACACGTCATTTCCTGCGTCGTGATGGGAGAGAGTAATGTTATTTCACAAAGGACGTGTCAGATCCTTCTTCATGGACTTTTTTAGTTACTGGTTTTTTGTTTTTTTTTTTTTTCTCTCAAACTTGTTTTCAAATCTCCTGGGGGATGAGGGAGAAACGGGGAGTTGAATTTTCCCCCATGCTGTTCCAGGCCAGTACCTTCTCCTGCATCTGGTAACAAAGAATGGTGATAACCATGTGCTGGTTCAAGGTTCTGGAGTTCTCCGTGAAACTGGGGTTAATTTTGCTCAGAATATCCAGAGTTGGCTACTAGGCTGTGGGTGAAATGGGATGGAGAGGAAGAACACCAGGCTTTCTGAAGCCATGTGGGCTGACTAGGGAGCTGTGTGGCTGACACAGGCTCAGCCCAGGAAGAGGAAAAATGATCCTTAGCCTGCCCCGTCCCTGTGGCAGGCTAAGTGTCTGGCCCTCCCAGCTCGCAGCTAGCCAGCCCCTCTGGCAGCAGATTCTCCCCAGGGCTTGGATCTTGAACCTGCGGCAGCAGGAGGCAAGGCACACTGTGGAGGACGGGGCTCAGGTCAGGGAGAGGAGAGGCAGGGGTAGACCACAGTGAGCATGAAAAGTTGACTCTTGCAATGTGCAACTGTTATGTTCTGCAAAATGAGCAGTGATGTATCAAATTGATGCAAATTTAGATGTTGATAATTATAATAAAGTTTTTAATGTGTTTTACTCTTCAGGTTTTTTTGTATCAGTCTTGTACAAATAAAGCCTTGTTCCAGGCTGTGCATTCACCACTCAACCAAATCCTCCCCACTGCTCATCTTTCTTCAGAAGATGGGTGCTTGTTTGGAGTGAAGCGCTTTTGTTCCTGCAAGTAGCACTGCCCACAGAACACCCCAGGTCAGTGGTATCACCTGTGCAGACCTGGAAGCTCGGCCGCACTGAGGCTGCCTGGGGCCACTGAGCTGCTCAGAAATGCAGTCCAGGTGAGGTTCTAGGAGCCCAGCTGGTCCCACGCACAAGCCTCTCCTGAATCTGAGTTGCACCTTCTCAGGCTGTAAGGAACAGTTGACAGTGGTGGGGACGTCCCTGACTTCGTTCACTAACCAGGCTGCAGTCAAGACTTGAGGGTGCTGAGCAAAGCCGTATGGTCTGACCTCGAGGCAAATCCAATTCCACCCTCTGTGTTCCCTGTGCGAAGGGGCACAGGCAGAGAACAACCAAAAATACACCTTCTCCTCCATGCTGCCCCTTCAGACAGCACCTAGCCAAGTAAAATCAAACCAGAGGCAGAGGTCTCCCTTGGAGATGGGCAGCCAATAGTCCCTTAGCAAGTAGCCAGTTAGAGGCCTCAGTTCACACCAGCCAGCAGTTCTTGTGTGTTTGCTAATCAGGATTCTGTTAGGAATGCGATTGTATTTCAGAGACCTTTATCCTACCCACAGAAACCTCAATGACCTTTATGTTGGTTGTTTAGCTTAGACAGTAGAGGATTGAGGACCTAAATCATGGCAGAGCTGGGAGACAACCACAGGCATGGTTGGTTCTCTTTCCCAGTTCCTTACAGCTGCTAAGTCCTCAACCTTTGTGTGGTGGCCCGTGATTCTCCATCCTTGTCATGCAACTGCCAGGCTCTTCTCCCTCCATCACCACCCTCCAAACAGACAGACAGACAGACACACACACACACACATCTTCCTTCTCATGCCTGGCCATATTTTCTGTCTTACTGGGGTTTGTGTTGCTCACCCACTCTTGCTTCCTGCAAATATTAACACAAACGTCCCCCACAGAAGTTTGAATACCTGAGAACTCCCACACCTCTTGTCAAGACACTGGGACTCTTTTTTTCCCAGCTGATGGCACCCCCAAGGAAAACCTACGGAGCTGTAAGAGCCAGAGGAGGGTGCCAGTGAGCACTTGATTGGGTTTCCTAAGGTCTAGCAAAGGCTTTTGATTTGTGCACGTGGTAACACACTGGGCTTAATTTTCAGGTGAGTAGATTCTAGATTGTCAAATGAGAAAAGAAGGGAAAATTGTCCTTAGTGACCCTATGCTCCTGAAATTAAGGAAAGCCTGCCTGAGAAGTTCGACTTCATAAAGCTAGGCTGCGTTTGGGGTTAGAAAGGTGGAGATTTTAGGGAAATTTAGTACAAAATTGTGAACACATTCCAGTGTCATTTAGAATATTTTGTGAGTCCCAGAGTTTATGTTCTTAAAATTGTTCTTAAGTGGAAATGGAAGCGTCCAAACGATAGACTTAAGAATTTTATGTTAACCTGAAAGTTTATGTGATTTAACTTTTATTTATTTAATTTTTGAGGATCAGGATTATTTTCTTCACTTTGAAGTTCCCCTAACCAATAGTGTTTTTATAAAGGGGTGGACCAAGAATGCCAACATGGGCTTTCCAGCTTAGACTAAAATTCCAGTTCTGAGAGTGAAATCTGACACATGATGATAATTGCCAGAAGCCTGTGAATTTATAACCTGCTGGATACATACAGCCCTGTCTGTTGGAGAAACAACCCACTAGCTAAATTTTAACGATGCACAAATAGACTTGGGATTCAGGTAGAAGGGCTGGGGGAGGTGGTCACTGGATGGTGGAAATCAGTCTGAACAGAGCCAGGGACTAGAGAGCCAAATCACAAGGCCTGCTCTTGGGCTAATGGAGTAAATTGATGACCGGGAATTAGGAGAGAGGAGGGCTGAGGATGGAACCCTGAGGAATTCAGCATCGGGAGTGGAGGAAGAGGAGGAGAGGCCGCCGGAGGATCAGGAGAGGGCAGCCAGGTGGGGACGTGGGAGTGGCAAGGCGGGCAGGTGCTGCTAGGAAAGGCCAGGGCAAGGGCAGAGTGGTGGTGGCTTCCCAAGGTGACGTGAGGACCAGTGAGAAAGCAGCGGTGGGGCACAGGCTTAACCAGGACACTTGGTGGGGAGGAAGGGAAGAGCAGGGACAGAGACGGTGAGATCCAGACCCGGGTGGGGTGTGCACAGGAGCCAGGTGCTGTGGAAACCAGAAGCATGCTTCATTCAGTCCTCTGGAACTAGAAGAAGGAGAAGATGATGCAAAATGAGGAGCAAAGTCGAGGAAGCTCCTGTCTTGGAGTCTCTGGCTCCCTAATAGAAGAGGCCCTGGGGACTCAGAGAGAGCAAATGGGCGTCTTCAAACGAGAGAAGCACGAAGGATCTACATTGGCTAAAAACAAGGGCCTTGGCCTCTTTCATTTATTTTTGTTTTTTAAAAAATTTGTTTTGAGACAAGAGTTTCACTCTGGTGCCCAGGCTGGAGTGCAGTGGCACCATTTGGCTCACTGCAACCTCCGCCTCCCAGGTTCAGCAGTTTTCCTGCCTCAGCCTCCCAAGTGCCTGGGATTGCAGGTGCATGCCACCACACCCAGCTAATTTTTGTAATTTTAGTAGAGAGGGTTTTGCCATGTTGGCCAGGCTGGTCTTGAGCTCCTGACCCCAGGTGAATTGCCTGCCTCGGCCTCCCAAAGTCCTGGGATAACAGGCACGGTGACGTCTGACCCTCTTGTTTATTAGCTGCAGTACTGTGGTCTGCTGAACCCCCTGCCTAGTGGGAATTTCAGATATCCGAGAGAGTTACACAGTTCCAAGAAAGCAGCTGGAGTGTCTAGGCCCTTATAGCCAGCTCACAATTCTCAGGGAGGCCGATCAGTTCTGTTACCTTTCTGGAATCTTCTGTGCAAGCTGCCCTGGGAATGTGAGTAGACTTGGAGTGAGAAGGGAGAAAGGAACCCAAGTCTGTGGAGCAGTGGGGGAGAGATATCTGCAATAGGAATCCACCCAGACTAACACCAGCAAATCGAGTTACAACCCACCATGGTCCTCACTCAGACACAAAAATTATGTAGGGACTCAGGACTGTCTCTGACGGCCACAACTAAACATTCCAGGGCCTTCGACTTCACCACAGTGAAACAGAAGAAGCAGCAACAGTGCTGCGTGACCTCCAGGCAGAAGGACTGGAGGAAACCTCCAGAATTGCACTCGGCCCTGGCATGGGTAAAACCCACATTCGTGTAACCTGTGGCTGGCCCTAGTGTTTCTGTGTGTGTTTTTGGGCTCTCCCCAAGCAGATGGCGCCCTTGTCCAGAGCCCCTTTTCCCCAAGGCGCCATCTGATCTGAGCGTAGAAGGCTCGCAGGTTCATAACGATGTTGGAACTAGAGAACACTCATCTGGTGTAGCCCGCCAGACAGGCCAGAGAAGGCACCAGGGTAATTTGGCCTGGGTCCCAAGGGCCATGATGGACTTGAGGCCAAGGTCAGCTCCATGGTCCAGTACTGTCCTCAGCCCTCCCTGGCTGCTGCCGGCCTCCCCTCAACCCAGGCAGTCGGAGGAGAGCAGGCAGGTCCAGGGTTGGCCCTCAGACTCCTCTTGGGACTGTCCTGCTTCCTCATCCTGCCCACACCACACACACCAGAACCCACGGCTCCTCTCCTCAGACCAGCCCTCCCTGCTCTCTGTGGAAGAGGGGAGCCCTGGCAGCTCTGACTCCCCCCTGGGCCGAGTTTTCTTCCAAACCCACTCCATCTGCCTGAAGCCATGTCCACCTAGCTGCCCCAGAGCTGCTTTCACATACACACCACAGACAGAATGGAAGACTCAGACCTCGGAATCAAAGGTGCTCGCCTGCCGCTGAGGATGATGTCCCCGTGACTTGCTAAAGTGGGCTGGTGGGGACGCTTTGCAAAGGTGGCCAGTTGGAACCTGAGCAGAAGGCTGGATTTGCTGTTGGGTTCTTTCCCCAGATGACGTACCGCCATGGAGCCTTTGCAAACCACCCATGCTTCCACCAAAGACAGACCCCAGGCTCAGTGAAGGACAGAGACTGTGGGTGTCAGGGAAGGCCTGAGAGAGCTTCCCCTCACGTCCATCCAGTGTGTTCGCTGGCCTGCTGTGAAGGGAGGAATTGCCAGAGGCTCTGGGAACACCAAAGGCGAGGGCCCTGGGAGGGGGTGGCAATGGGGACCGGTGACTGGCTTCTTGCTCCTTGGGGGCCCAGGGAAGCCAGTTCTTCCCCTTCTGATCAGCCCTGCCCACCAGAGACGGCTCTGCTCCCAGGTGGGAGAAGCTCCTGCCACCCTCTACCTCTCCCTAGAAAATCGCATCGTAGCCCGCATGATGGACTTCTCTGTTTAACAAGGCTTTCGGTGTTTCACGGGGCCATAGCTAGTTTTGCTCCTTTGCTATCTTGGCAGTTCTATGTACAGAGTTCCTACCATACGATGCTAATGTGATGTTAAACAGAAGCACCATATTATATCCAAAAGCTCATCAGCCTAGATCTATGCAGATTTTGTAAAACCCACATTCGTGTAACCTATGGCTGACCCCGGTTTTTCGTATGAATAAAGCTGTTGGAACCACAGAGATGTTTTGCAAAACAGGCAAGGTCTATTTGGATGGCAGGTTGCCTTCTCTCAGCAGGCAGGGCACTACTGCACTGAAACGTGCATAAAGATGAGTGTAATATTAACACTTAAGGCCTGTTTAAAGGAGGGGTTTGTTTATGCTGCTTATACATAAAAAGTCTAGCAAATAATTGAAAAAAACCAACCCCTTAACAGAGTGAGAGCAGCCAAGGCCTCCAGCCCTCGGGGAGATGTATATAATGCTCCTACCTGGAGATCACCCGAATGCAAACACAACCATGTCTGGGTTATTTATTTATTTATTTATTTAAAAAAGAATAAATCA